TCTCTCTCTCTCTCTCTCTCTCTCTCTCTCTCTCTCGTCATTTCGTTGTCATGGTCTTCCTCCTTTCTGCTCCTCCATCCGCCTCCTCCTTCTCCATGTCTGCGTCCTCCTCCCGCTCCTCCTCCTCCTCGTCTTGGTCATCGTCATGTACTTGATCTACGCGTATTTTTGGCTGGCGGCCCTGGGCAAGACAAAACGCCCTGGACAGCCAAAAAAAAATTTGGCCGTTGGCCAAAGGGTCTGGAATCCGGACTGGGATCCAGACACGTTCACCGGACACCGGACACCGGACGGTCCGGATCCCTGTCCGGAGGTCCGGATCGCTGCCATGGTTCTGTCACCAATGTCCTGCAATGCTGAAATTGCTGTTCTACCAACTTCTGTCCGCATTGTAAGGATGATGTCCTTCAGATACGTGACTGGTTGACTTAAACCCTAAACCCTAAACAGTAGTATACGACTGCTAGTGAGTGTGGATGGGCTGTGAAGGTGTATGCCTACCGGTTTTTTAACTTCTAGATGTGTATAAGAGACAGCTTCCTCCTTTCTGCTCCTCCATCCGCCTCCTCCTCCTCCATGTCTGCGTCCTCCTCCCGCTCCTCCTCCTCCTCGTCTTGGTCATCGTCATGTACTTGATCTACGCGTATTTTTGGCTGGCGGCCCTGGGCAAGACAAAACGCCCTGGACAGCCAAAAAAAAATTTGGCCGTTGGCCAAAGGGTCTGGAATCCGGACTGGGATCCAGACACGTTCACCGGACACTGAACACCGGACGGTCCGGATCCCTGTCCGGAGGTCCGGATCGCTGCCATGGTTCTGTCACCAATGTCCTGCAATGCTGAAATTGCTGTTCTACCAACTTCTGTCCGCATTGTAAGGATGATGTCCTTCAGATACGTGACTGGTTGACTTAWACCCTAAACCCTAAACAGTAGTATACGACTGCTAGTGAGTGTGGATGGGCTGTGAAGGTGTATGCCTACCGGTTTTTTAACTTTTTTTCCTTTTTCTTCAGAATGTTTATGATGTTGCAGTGTTGGGTGGGCAGTCAGACTGTTACATGCTGYGCCTKCAAMMGGCYKCACGGGCCATTTTCAGGCCCGTGTTGTTTTCAGCCTGAAAGCCTGAAAATAAGGGCCTACAGGCCCCGTGTTGTTTTCAGCCTGAAATCCTGAAAACAAGGGCCTACAGGCCCTGTGTCGTTTCAGCCTGAAACTGAGGGCCATTTTCAGGCCCTCATAAGATCGACCTGCCCTGAAACTCAGGCACCACACCAGGGTTTTAGCTCAAGCCATTTTTGGCCTATTTTCAAGACGACCTTTGTTTGAGCTTCAACCCCAGGGTCTGGCACGTTTTGGCATTGGCAAGAGCAGGCTTCCTGGACGGGCCAGCACTATATAAGACCGGCCCGCCCTGCAGGCTGCAGGTAGTTCCTACGTACTTCCCAGGCACTTCACGTGCAGTTCAGGAGGCAGGAGGTAGTCTTCAGGATTCGGCAGCAGCACTCTGGAGGAGCGCTGCAGGAGTAGTAGTAGCGGCGTCGGGCGCTAGTCGAGTTAGCAGTAGTCTTCAGCGCTGGGCGCTAGTAGGAGCTAGAGTAGTACTGGAGAGAGAAAGCAATTGGGCGGAGGCCAGGGAGACTTACCTGCAGCGCCATAGCTCAAGCTTTGTCTTTGAGGTACCGGCAGCACAGTGCCATCTTCACAGGTTAGTACCTGGCACATGGGAGAGAGAGAGAGTTCTTCTTCTTCCTCTTCTCAGTCCATCTCCCTCTCACCCTCTCGCTACCTGACTTCACTGCATCTGCAGACTACGAGAGAGCGGGATTGGTGACATTTGGATCCAGACTCGACATTGGGATTCAGACATTTTGACGAGGGATTACTTACTTGGGACTTGTAACGAAGACTTGGTGTTGACGACATTCCCATCTCTCCCCCTCTTCTTCGTCTGTTCCCCTCCTCTTCGTCTGTGCATGATCTGGACCTGGCGCATTCTTCCTGTGTGTAGCGCCAGGCCCCTTCATACCTTGTGATGAGGATGTATGTTTGGTCTGCGTTGCAACATTGATTGGGCTAGTCATTGATATTGTAGCATTCTGCTGCGCTGTCTTGCACTACGTGATAGAGGTCAGTCCCGGTCAGGTCAGGACTTGTATCTAAGTGTTCCACTGCGCTATAAAGCACCATTTTTGTATGTATCAGGATATACACTGCTTGTTGAGGTTTCACTTGCACTGCGTTGTCCATTCAGTCATTTTTATCACATTGCGGATCCTCGGTTATTTATGTACATCGCCCAACTGGGCTGTAACACAGACTGTGGGAGTATTGTGTGTGAAAAATTTTAGGGCTTGGAAGGTTCGATGTCTTCGGACCCTTTTGTGCAGTGACTGTCGTGGCACTGGGTAGGGGCTCTGTGTATAGTGTATGTCCATGGTTAAGTTTTCATTGGGATAATCAGACATACATTGTGTAGCAGCAGAGAAGAATTCATGAGTGTAACTACATGTATTTGAGGGAGACTCTGTTTTCGTTGCTTTTGCTGACATGCGATCTAAATCTGTTTCATTGCTGTTGCCACCCCAATTCTCATTTGTGTTGATATTTTTGCAGGGTATGACGCTGGATGAAGCACGTGACCAATTGATGAATGACGTGAACTCCTTTGGGACAGCAATGGTGGCAGCTGGCGATGCTGATGGTATGGTTTCTGGAGCTATCCATACGACAGCAAATACTGTCCGACCAGCACTACAGATTATCAAGGTAAGTGGAACCCGTGTGCAGGCTGGGTAACCCCTCCCTGAGTAGTAGTTTGTCGTAAACTGTACAGGTGAACTTTTTATGCTCTTCCAGAATTCGTCCCTTGCATGCTTTGCCTAGATATTAGTTTCCGTCAGCCCTTGCAGATCGCCAGATGCCTGCTATGCACCAGTGTTGTGATGCTTTGGTTTTTGTGGATCTTTCCCTCTTCTCCTGCCCACTTTCCATCTCTCCTAGAATTTTCTCTGGGAAATCTCCTTGCCTTCTGGCAGTTGGTTTTCTGCCTGCAGTTGCTATAGACTTGAAACATCCAACCAGCTATTGCCTTCTTCACGACTTGATTCCCGTGCTGGAGTCCCGTGCTGGAAATTTGCGACTATGTTTACATACAAGTCCCGTGCTGGAGTTGACTCTTGATTTTCCAACAGTCAACTGTCTCACGTTGGGGTATTAGACACAGCTTTTGACTCAGATCCTGGTACCTCTTGACCCTCCGAACTTTCTCAGACATTTCTGAGGCTTGGGACGTGACTTTCGACCCCTGTTTCTGGCCTTTGACCAAAAGTGACGACCCTTGCTCGCGTCTGGGCAGATCTGAACCTGGTTTATTACACTCTCCCTGCCCAGTCCTCTTTTTGTTTTTTTTTGTAAGTTGTTTTTATTCGAGCGTTTCTTTTTTTTTTTTTAATGGTCTGTGCAACCTGTGTGTCGCACTGTGCGGTGCGGCGCACGTGGCGTGATGCGTGCCTGGCCGATGTGCATGCACCATGCACATCGTGCGCACTGCGCACAGGTGCAGTGCGGCGGGGGGCGTGTAGTGCCCCAAATGCACGCGCACTGGGGGGTTTGTTTTTTGGGGTGTCGTGTCCCCATTACCATGGGAGGTTAGGTGTGTGTCAGCTTTGATTTCTCATTGCGTGAGGCTGGGGCCCGTCTTCTACTTGTTCTCCCACCAACTGTTAATGAAAAACAAAACAAAGAAGGACAAACAAGACCGTCGGCCTCGCCCCGCTACTTACCACATGCACAAAAGACAAAAAAATATGACGGTGTATCTTTCCATGTTTTAGTGGAAGATTCATTCTCATTTTGCATATTTGGTGAGCTGTGGAGGGAGGCCCAAAAGAATATACCACCCCTCACCACTGCCTAAGTTAGCCTTCAATCTGAAAGCCTCTAGCCTCCGACTCTGAGTCTGCTCATCGCCTTCTATCCTGTCTTTGGTTGGTAACCCCTAAACCCTAGACAGTCGGCCTAAGGTAAACCGTCACCCTCCGGCTCTGAGTCTGCTCATCACCCCCTATCCTGTCTTTGATTGGAAAACCCTGAACCCCTCCTGTCATTGATTGGGAAAGCCTAAACTCTGTGGACGCTAACCCATCACTACAGTGTGATGGTTCCTTGGGATACCCTGGGGCACAGCCATACGGCTAAGACGGACAGTCCTTTGGTCATCCCGGGCTGGCAGAGTTTCTAGAAGGCCCTTCCACCCTATTCCATACCATTCAATCCGAGGCTATGCTAACCGCTCGGGCCGTCATCCAACTTTGTTCTGACTGGCCTCCCCAATCGAGTTTGTGGTCTGTGTTGTTCGTGCACCCGCTTGCTGCACACATTTGAGCAAATTCCCTTCCTCGGATCTCAGCCTCCCCTCCCCTAGGGAACCTTTCACAAATTTGTCGAATATCTCTTGACGCTTCGATGGTCTCCTTGCATGTTCTTTTCCAAATGAGGTGGCTGATGTTTTTGTGTTTACCTTTTTTGTTTTTTCTGTCTCCTAGCTGATCTTATTCCATGCCAGCCATTCTGAGTGTGCTTCCAGCCTGAAGAAATGACTTCGCTTTCTCTTGTGGATGCTCGCTTATCTATTTTCGATGATCTTTAGGGATTGTTGACTTTGCTTATCACTTACACGTGTTTTTGTTTTTTGTCAAGGTTGGTTTTTGTTCATGTTTGTCTTTCTCTCTCTTGGTGCTCCCAAGCGTAGATTGTTCCTTACATCAGGGGCTGGTGTGCTCATTGTATTGTTTCCATTTCCTTTGTTCGCGTTCTGCACAGACTCACCCGGACACGAAGCTAGTATCCAGCGTGTTCTTCATGTGTCTTCCCGACAAGGTCCTCGTCTATGGTGATTGTGCAATCAATACAGATCCAACGGCTGAGGAACTGGCAGTGATTGCGGTGACATCTGCCGACACGGCAATGGCCTTTGGAATTGAGCCTCGAGTAGCAATGTTGTCATATGCTACGGGCGACTCTAATACAGGTGCACACTCAAGTTTCTCCCAATGCAGTTCTTCAATTCCTTCTTGTTTTTGATGTGTGGAGTCTGTGGACTAATTGTGGTTCAAAATCTTTAGACGGATCAAGTGCTCTGCAGTACAGAGATTGCTTTCACCGCTGGCTTTGTCCAGCGAGTGCCATCTTACCCTCCTGATGTGTGACTTGGTGTCATGAAGTGCATGTCCTTAGTCAATTACATTGGATGGGCGATGGCCAATTAAAAAACACATCTTTTTTTCCCGTTTTAATCTACTGTCCAGGATGCATGTATGGATCGCAGATGTGGATATGTGACCCTGTCCCCCAACCCTTGTAGGCTTACCAATTTTCAGCTACTCTTCTGTGCACTTCTTACCTCCCTTGTATGCAACAAAGAGGTGGACTAGTCTGCCAGTGTTTGGGGGCATTTACCGGGAAGCCAGGCCAGCCAGTCCGAGCTGGCAGGTTGACCTGTTCCATCCATCTAGCTTTGAAAGTTGTATGTTCTAACTTCTAAGTCTTTTCAGAAGAACTCGAGATTACCAAATATGTTTGCATTGTTTGTTTCGCAAAGTGCACTATTTTAGTTCGTTGATATGTGACAACATACCATGGGTCGGATCCTGATGTCCGGATCCCCTTTTGGAACGTCCGCATTTGGATGTCCCGGTGGCGTTCGATCCGGACCCGGACCCGGACCCCATTCCAGACTGTCCATGCCTGGATGTGCGGGCTGACATCCGGTCCGGTAGGTCTGGAAGAGGAAAGTTTTTTTTTTTTTTTTTTTTTTTTTTTTTCGGTTTTTGGTTGGGTAAGTCCCACCCCCCAAAAAATGTTTTGCGATATTTTAACTATTCTCTGGCTGGTTTCTGGCCCTTTCAGAAAGCCAAAGAGAGCCGGGCTGAGACTGATTCTCTGTGTGTGTGTGTGTGTGTGTGTGTGTGTGAGAGAGAGAGAGAGAGAGAGAGAGAGAGGCACAGGTTGGATACTGCCTAGAGGTAGGTATGGCCAAATTCACCCCCTGTCTGTGAAGCTTCTGTGACTTCTTCTTCTTTTCTTTTCTTTCCTTTCTTTCATTCTTTCTTTCTTTCTTTTTTTTTTTCTTTTTTTTTCTTTCAATTATTAAATTCCGGAGTTCCGGATTTTTCTGGACGTCCGTCCCGCGGTGTCGGAGTTCGGGTCCGGCGTAACCATGGAATATACCAATGGGCCTAGCGCAGTTGGTACACCCATGAACTGTTGAAATGGGGACGAGAGTTAGGATCCAGATACCATCAGATGACCAGAAACAAAATCATTCTGAATTACCTGGGGCTGGTCATTTCGACGTTGATATCTTAAGGCCTTCGCCCTTCATGAAAAAAGAAAAAGGGAAGAGGGGAAAAAAAAAGAAAAGGTATGTGAGATATTGTGACAATATATATAAATCAAAGTAGCATGATTCGGTGGTAGGAGTGGGAAGGGGTGAGCAGCATGGTTCGTTGGTAGGAGTGGGAAGGGGTGGGTCTTCTGAAGTTGGGTGAGCGTGCGCTAAATTGGCGCTGTGTCACCATCCAGCTCGTCACGCTCAACTGTGTGCCGTGCCGGATCGGCTACTAGGGAAGCGAGGTTGCTACGCTCAGCACTATCCTCACTTCCAAACTCTGTTTCATCCACAAGGTCGGAAACATCATCGATCTCGGTTTGATTTCCGTCGGAATCAACGATCGTCAATCGACTACCTTTTTGTCAACATGCTGTGCCACCCCTTACCAGCAACTGCGTGCTGTGCCACGCGGTGCAGGGCAGTGCTGACGTGCAGGGTGGAAACTTGATTGCTATTGTGCCATTTGTGACTGCCAATTGACAATGACGATCGATAAGGTTGCCTTCATCTCCCGTCAGAAGGGGGATAGAAGAAGACAGCGGACAGCGATCAGGTTCAACTACGCTCATCGACCGTTTTGGAGGAACACAACAACAACTCGATCGGAATTTCAAAGGAACTGAAGATAGCTCTCAGGCAATTTAAGGGGCAGAACCCGGCTACGTTCTGCTACTCTATTGAAGGACTACTGAATCTAGTTTTGGGAGGGCTATGCCCCAGGCTAGCAAAGTGAGATACATTCAGCGTCTTGTTTGGACCGAGTACGTTCACTGATGAAAAGGACAAGAATTGGACGTGGGCAACATTCTTGAGAAGTTACACCTCAGACTTACTTTCCCTTTCCGCTCAAGGAAAGGTTGAAGGTTGCATCTCGATGCCTCGACCATCGCATGGTTGTGGTTCTCACCAGGGGATAGTGATGGAGATAGCACCAGGAGGACGTATTCTGATGGCGCTCGATCAGAAACGAACAAGAGAGGAGCCTCAATTGTTTAACAGTAGAGGTGTCACTAGGGGATATCATCGGAGACAGTGACAGGAGGATGTATATGGAATATTATGGATGTAGCGTTTTCAGAAACTACCAAGAGAGGAGATGTGTTGCCACTTGGGGGGACTCGACAAGAGGTGAGAATAAATGAAATACTTCAAAAATCGACCGACAAAAGGAAAACAAGACAGACAAGGTATGTTAGAACACCAAGAAAGCAGGATCCAATGAAGCACTCGTATGATAAGGTATGGCAGAACAGCAGGTGAGAATAAGTGAAATACTTCAAAAAGACGACTGACAAAAGGAAAACAAGACAGACAAGGTATGTTAGAACACCGAGAAAGCAGGATCCAATGAAGCACTCGTATGATAAGGTATGGCAGAACAGCAAGAAACCAGGTGCGAAGCTGGTCGAGGGTATGCAGTGGGGAGCCTGGAATACACTGATAGCCCTCACCTACAGTGTGGTGTCTGCTGCAGCCTGTCCAGTGGAGATCATGGTGGAATCCTTGGCTTCGGTTATCTACAAGAACTTCTTAGTTTCAGATGAATTTATACTAGTCTGTAGTGGACAATTTTAGACATAGAGGATGGAAAACAAAGAGGAGATTGATGACGAGGAAGAGCGTTGGAAAGAAGAGCAGTGTGGCATTCTTAGTTCCACATGGGCTCTTGCGGGCCCGACCAGGTAGGACTAGGGGTCGGTTAGGGGGGATTTTAGGCCCAGGTAGGCCCAGGTGTTGTTTCAGCCCGTTTCAGGGCCCATAGGTCTGTAGGCCGGGTTAGGCCTAGAAAGGCGACAGGCGCTGGTGCATGTTTTGGCGCCAAGACCTGTGAGGCAGCCCCGTTTTGTTGGGCGCTGGCCGCTGAGGCCCAGCCTCAGTTTGGGCGCCAGTTTAGGTGCCAGGTTTCCTCTCAGGTGACTGACTGAGGCCGGACTAACGTTATTTATAGCTGGTCGGCCTCAGTTTCGGAAGGCATTCTTCAGGCATTCGTGGAGGTACTCAGTAGCGGTAGCGGTAGTCAACGGTAGGATAGAGGTAGTCTTCCAGCACTGGGTGCTGCGTTAGGACTTCGGCCACGAGCTAGCGCGGCAGCCTACTGCAGCTGAGGTTGGAGGGAGACTGGCTATGGCGGAGGCCAGGGAGACTCACCTGACGACTTACCTGTGATGCCATTGCTCCAGCTTCGTCTTCAGTTGGTCCATACGTGTATCAAGGCGACACCTTTTCGCAGGTTAGTGGCTGGTATACAAGAGAGAGAGATCTTCTTCCTCCCCCAGTCCATCGCTCTTCTCTTCCCCCTCCAGCTCTCTGACCCCCTTTCTCCTCCGTCAGACTGTGTGTGTGTGTGTGTGTGTGTGTGTGTGTGTGTGTGTGTGTG